ATCGTGTCCTGCGTGTGGGGCGGAGGTGAAAATTCGACATCAGCCGGGGTCCATGCCGAGAAGATTTGTTTGACAATCATTATTGCAAAAAAAAAAAAAAAATTGGGAAGAAGATACAAAACGATATATAATATGAAGAATCCACTAACTACCACTGTGAATGTAAAGATGAAGAGACAGACGTATGTTTACATACTCAAGAAGAAGCAAGGCATGGACCAGAAATTGTCACATTAAACATCAACCGGCCCATCGAGGGAAGTCCAGCCGCCTCTTTCTCTAGTCCTGTAAGGAGTGAGAAAGTTGTCGGGTAACCTGAACGGAAGGTGTTAGGCGCGCCGATTCAGGTTAGATTACCTGATTTTGTATACAGAGTCAGTGTAGTGCTGGACCATCTCACCATATCACCTGGGATGAAGAGATTACCCCAGAGGCAACGTCACAATTCCGCAATCAGTCATACAGAGGAAAGGTCTAGATGAAAATACTTGCCTGGCGAGAAGATGTAGAGTAGGGCACCACTAAGACTTAACAGTGTTGTGTGTTTTTTTTTTTTTTAATTTGGAATTTTTTCTCTGATGTGTGTGTATGTAATGAATTGCCATTGTGACAAAATTTTTAATAATGACAGTTTGTATTACAACAGTCTCCTGCCAAACCTAACATGATCACTTGTATGTAGGTTGTTTAGTGACGTCGTAACTTGTTCATTATTCTTACTTCTTATTCTTATTTTCCTCGTTAATTAAATCTTCACTTTATCTAATCTAATTTCCCTTTAAACTGCCAAAATACTTTTGAAATGCTAGCAGACGCCTGTACCCGACCCCGCAGAACGAAATGTACCAACATATCAAAATGGAAATTTCATTTGAAAATGTAAATATTTTAAATCTTCCCAAAACTGAACCAATCGCTTTAATAGCGCTCTATATTTGACTAAACCTTTAGATGGAGTGTTAGCGTTAGGTAGGCGAACTTGGACGAATAAAACTGCATTTGTTTCAACACATTTTTTTTTTTTGTATTCACTGTTAGGTTGGCAGCAACCTGTTTGCCAAACTTTTCGTCCCTACATGGTGGTTTCGTTATATAGTATAGTATAGAATAGTTGAGTTTAGTCTGCACTCAGCCAATGATTTGAATTTTGTAGTGTGGACTTATTATTAATAGGTATACGATTTACATTTTTGGTAGTGTAGTTTTGTTTTGCTTGTTTTTTTGGTCTTGCTTATAGGGGTTTTTGTAGTGTAGTGTTTTTTTTGCTGTGCTTATGCATATATGATTTGACCTTTTTCGCCTGTGTAGTTTGCATTGTAGACGATTCTTTTTACCTTGTCTAACTTTAAGTTGTTTTTTTAGAAATATAAGTTTCATTCCACACTCACCGACTTTAATTCGTTAATTTTTTTTATTTTGTTTCCTTGGTGTATAACTTCCGTATATTTTTGGTTAGGGATTTGATATTGTAAGAAAAATTGTCTTAAACTCAATAGTTAAATTTCAACCTAAAAAGGGATAGGATTTCAGAGGATAGTCGAGGCGACTATTTTTCCGGCGCCCTAAATGTTATAGGTAGATAACGAGGGCTTCACTGAGTAGGTGCAAATTTAAGAGTCGCGGCGCGGGCAGCAGAGGCGATGGTGGCGGAAGTGCAATTCAGCAATGCACCCCTTCCCCCGTCGCGCCTGCTGCTCGGCAACCGGCGGCCGCGGCGAGCGCGGCCGCGGGGCAGGGAAGCCCTCGGGGCACTGGAGTACTGGAGGACAGGCAGTCGCGTGTAGGCAGCGGTGAGTGTGGAGTGCAGTTTGTGCTGGTCAAAAGTTGTGAAATAGACCCAAGGACCAGACTAACCCACGTGTACAACATTCTCTGATTGAACCTTTAACTCCGCCACTAAAACAACCCGTGTATCCGAACAATGTACAACGCCAAGGCGAAGTTAGAATTGTTGAAGATCTACGATCAGAACCCAAACAAGACTCGCGCCGCGGTCGCCAAACTCATGGGTGTGCCAGCAACCACTCAACAGGGATGGCTGAAGATGAGAGCGAAGCTTGAAGATGCTGTCCTAGAGCTCTTGTGTATCACTTGACTGTGTGTTCCCCTGCAAAGCACTTTACTCCGACTAACCGCAGTGCTCCTCTCTGTCGTCGCTTTGTGCCGCCCGCAAGAACAGACTTCCTTTCAGAGCTTTGTTGTCGTGCGCCACGCAGCCACCTGTGCATGAGCAACTGCGGGGTCGTTTGTTGACTTAATTGGCTGTCAAAGTAATCTAAAAGTATTGTTTCATAGAATAAGAGCAGTGTAGTAGAGTCGCAGCTCACGTTTTTATAGTTTTTCTTCTCATTTAATCTCCTTACTACGTCAGTGTACTTTCTTAATGTGAGTGAAAGATACATGCTGTGACGCAGTGCGGTGCCTGAACAGGCAGAA